GGGGGAAATTCAAACTATTTCACCGCAATCACATTGGGGGAAAAGAAGGAATTTTTGAAAATGAAGTTAAATTCGAAATTTATTTAGAAAAAAAATTGCATTTTTATGTTCATTGATGTTCGTTTTGATTAATTGTTAACTGGATTTTGTGTAGCAAGACTCAGATGAGCTAAGTGCATGCACAGAAAATCATCGATGCATAACCTGGCAATTATAATAAAGGTCAAGGATCTTTTCGGGGTTTCCCTTGGCTTTCTCTTGACTCTCTTTCTCTTGCCGCTCTCAATCCCTCTCTCTTCCTTCTTTGTTGCTCTATCGCTTGCTATTCCCAGCGTGAAATTCACATGGACGAGCTGCGTTGCACTCTGGATGAACTTGCATTTCAAATTTTATATGTAGAAAGAATAAAGAAAAAAAATGTGTGCGTTCTTGTGGACGCTTCTTGGTTTTCTCCAATTTGAATTTTATGTTGTTAACTAGCGGCACATTTAACGACACGTAAAATTTCACGAGTAGAAGCAGCGGCGGTGGTGACAGAGCGCTTTTAATGTGGGTGAGTGAGCGAGAGCAATGGAAAAACGGCCAGCACCAAAAGGTGAAGTAGAGAGAAGAAAATCGCTTGAGCGGAACCGTTAAAAGGAAACGGATTACATGTATGTATAAATTCACTTGAGTCATTTAGCCAATGTTCTTGCTTGCATATCAACTATATTCGTGCCTTTCTTCTCTTCTCTGGATGCGGTCGATGTGCGTTTGTTCTGTTCTGTTCTCTTTTTTTTGACAAGTTTTTCAATTTTAGACACATTTCGTATTCAAAGTGCGTACGATCAGCTACAAAACAGAAAATAGTAGCTACAAAAAAGCCCATTAATCCAATGAATTAAGTAAAACGACAAGATATCAATGGATTTATCGAAATGGAAAAGTCAATGGCAGAGTTCGAATACGTTTATTTAAATAAAAAGAATTGAGGTGGAGAATTGAACTGTTCGAATTCTACACTTTAAATCATTTTAACTGTTGGAGCAATAATTAAATGAGCGAGAGATCACATCCAACAACAGCAATATCATCATCAAATTATATAAAATTTAGTTTAAAATGCCAATTTCGATGGGACACAAATTTTGAAGAGAGAAATGACGAAGAAAAAAGCGGTTCCAAGCGGCCACTAATGATGAGCATTCCATTCAGCTCACCTTTCCAAGCGATCGTGGGTGTTTGTGGCGAATGTAATTTATTAAAAATTAAGAACGAAACGAAAAAAAACACACGCACATACACACATAGAGAGAAAAAGACTTTTAATTATTATGATTTTTTTTTCCATTCGTTCGTTCGTTCGCCAGAGAGACTGTTTTTTTTTTCTCTTCTCTACTTGGGCTATCATTTGCCATGTAAAACAGTGGAAAGGCATAAAAAAAACGAAGCATTGAGCGCGGCAGAAGCAATAGCTAGGCAATGGCACACACACACACACAACACATAAATAAACAAAGCGAATACACGCCAAACGTAGAAGGCACTTTTGCCTCACATCCGGTTCACACGCACTAAATATTTATTTGTTGTTGTATATTAACTTCTTCTTCTTCTTCTTCTTTTCGCTGTTGCTTCTGCTGCTGCTATTTTAGTGATGTGTTTTACTATTCCGCGTACGTGTATTGCGCGATGTACACACATATGCATTTTATTTAGTTTACCTATTACCTTTCGCCGATGTTCTTCTTATTCTTCATCGTGGTCGTCATCATCATCGTCGCCGCCGCCGTCGACGTTGCTGTTTTTTTTTTCGTCAGCAACCTCAAAGTGACGAACTAGAAAAAAAAACACCAACCTGAAAAAAGCAGAATGGATAAAAAAAAGCACAAAATAACAACACACACACACAGAATTAGCGTTTTCTTGGATTTAATTTACACACGGTTCATATTTTATGCCGAGCTAAGATTGGCGCACTACTCTCAACTACCTGCCACTACGATTTCTATTCTAATTTCGTTTCCCTCTCTTTCTATCGCTCTCTCTCTCTCTCGCTCTCTCTCACTCTTCGTACAGCAGCAGCAGCACCACAACATTTTCGAACGATGCGCGCAATCCACGATTTTATGCACCTCTTTTTTTTATGCACCGTTCAAAACGCGATGCGGTTTCTATTACATGTTTTGTCATTAATTCCATCCCCATATTCGATGTGTGGCATGTCTTCGTACAATTTCAATCATATTAATTACACTTTACAGCGAATAGATAAAACGTTGCGGTTCTTAACACTTTTTATAGCTTTTTTGAACTATTTTAGCCCGATTGCTAACTATTACGCGCGCGCGCGTACGCTTGATCGTTTGCTACTATCTCTTTCTCACTCGTTCTCCGTGCATTCTCTTGCTTTTCTCCAGTCTCGACACTCGGTTTCTTCTTAATGACAATAAATACGGTTTTACTCTTATGAGGCCATCATTTTTGAACGGCATTTTTTTTTATTTATTCAAATTTGAATGAATTTAGACTTTTACTCAAATGAAGTCTGAAAAACGACTCATTTAAATTAATTTTCTTTAATGGCATTTTATTCAGAGAGATTAGCTCTACATTTAATTTGGAAAGTAATAAATCCTTGGTTATCTTTAAGAAACTTTTGTTTGACGATGAAAACTTCATTTAAAAACCATTTGATTTATTATTGATTTATTATGACATAAAATGCGCAATTTTTATTGGAGTTGACCTGCAATTCGGAGATGAAACAAGGGTGATTAAAAATTATCATGGATCATGGTTTGAAGCTTTTTTTCCCCACATATTCAATACTTTTCATATTCTAAGAATTCGCTCAAATCAAAATTCTTTTATTCCATTTGAACGGATTTGAGAAAAAAGAAATGCGGCACCATTTTTATCTGGAAGCCACAGCAATCTGATTGATAAAAATAATTAATAAAATAATTTATTGATAGAAAGGAATCATTTTTCGTGTAAAAAGCGGTAGTTTTATCAAAAAAGATAAGAAAAATTGAAGCGAAATAATGTTTTTCGCCCAATTTTTTTTTAATAAATTTAAGTAATGAATTTTCATTAAAAATATCAATTCAAAAATCAATCGGATTGAACATAGTTTTACTTTGAATTAATTATGGACTTTTTTTTTCTTTCAGTGGATATTTTGCTAGAAAAACCCATAATTTATCAGATTCAACAATCGAATTTCAACCGATCAAAGTTGAGGAAACTTTGATTTCATCGAAAAAGCTAATACTTATGAAAATCTAAACAGAATTGACCAAGATTATGAAATAAAACTATTGAATATCTTCCAAAATTTAGCTTTTAGCGCATGAAATTGATTCTCTAAATTAAATCGTCTTTGGCAAACATTCAATCTAAACTCTCTCAGAAACATTGTTTTCAAAACACTCAAAGGACCGATAAAAATTGGTTCAAAAGGTTCAAAATCGGTGTGTATCTTGAAAATTAAGTCGCGAGTCTCTGTCCGTGATTCGTGATTCATGCAATGCGATTCGGTCGTGTTTCGTTGGTTGCTGGCAGGCATGTGTTGTGTCTGAATATGAAATGAGGTGTGGTGAAAATGTGACTGGTGGCTGGTTGTCGACGACGACGACGACGACGACGACGGCAGCGGCAGCGTCGGCATGTTGTTGTCATTGTGCATATTCATGTATCTGTGATTTGGTTGCTATTTACATTAACATTGAGTTGTTTAAGCTTTTCGGTTGAGCGGTTGATTTTGGATCTATGTGTGATTTTCCCTCTCTCTTATTTTGCGGCACTCTTACTACACTCACGATCTCGGGCTTGTGTTGGTGAACAGGCGATAAATCAATCGAATTACACCAAAAAAAACGCGCAACGCGCAGAACGAACCGAGAAAATAAAGAGCAAAACTATACTCAACGATGACAACAGCTCGAATGTCCATTTAAAGCATGCAAAATGTAGTGTACACGCTGAAAAGAGACACAAACACGAGACAAACATCGGATCGATTACAAACACTGTCTCATGGTAGAAGCGAACGAAAAAAAAACTGATTCAATTTTTGTTTTGTCTTTTGCGATCGTGGCTGTTATCTCTCCCTCTTTCTTCGTCGGTTTCCCTTACAGGTAAAACTAATGTGCTTACAAGCACATGCAAAACCAATGTTTATAAATAGCGACGATCGCACACCTGTGTGTGCAGCACACCAGTGTTCACCAGTGGTAGCTCGCGCTGCTGTAAACATTCGCCAATCGAATGGGATGCAAATCGGATCGGATCAATACGCCAATTTCAGTCGCACTTGCGACTATGTTCGGGATATGATCATTGGATTGGGGAGGATCGCATACTTAGGCACAATTCTATGAAGATTTCATCGATTCTAGAATGATTAAAGAATTGAAATTTGAAAAAAAAAAAAATTGAAAAATATCTTGGCTAAAATTGGACTCAGTAAAAGATTGGGATTCGACTACTTAAGTCGAATGTTTTGCATAAGAGTTTATGTATCGAGTGCATTTCAAGGCGCTTAATATGAGAATGAATGTAAGTTATACCTTTCAATCATACGGTGACTATCACATGTACATTTGCACGGCTGTACAACAATTTACATGTACAAACCAAACACTCATACATATACAGAGTCACCGCACTCGTTCACTCACTTGAGTAGCAGCAACAGCAACAGCGACGACAATGACGGCAGCAGAAGCGATGAGCATATCGCGTTGTCGCGCTCTTTAACCATGTACCCGTCTGTGTTGCACATGTAATCGAGCGAAACAGAGACGAGAGTGAGACACTCACACACACACACACACACATACAACTAACCAGCGAATAAAAACGAGACACACTCATCGCAATAGAGAATTGGTGGAAAGAGTGTGGAACGGTGTGACTCTACTTCTCGCAACCGAAAAGAATGAGCAACCACTGAGAGATATCGAGCGCGATCGACGCGAGCGTTTCACCTTACATACTTTTCAAACCGTTTCTTCAGTCACTTAATGATAATCAGTTAAGTTAAACGTATTCCATTGCCGTTTGGTTTTTCTGTTGTTTTATCGTTTTCGTTCGCTGTTTGGTGTTTGGCCGTTGTGTTTTCGTTGGGTTGGTTTTGCCCAAAGAAATTTTTTATTTTCTTTTGATCGTTGAGGATATTTATTTTATTTTTTTTTTGGTAGTAAATGTGGAACAGATAAAGTGCCAAATTTGTTTATTCGGTGAGACAATTGACGTCAGAAGAAGAAAGAGAGCGAATTACGGCATCATTTCATGCAAAACAGTGGGCCGATCAATTTAAGACAACTAGATCCTGGTTTGAACCCATCATTTTTCTGTGAGATTTGTGCTGATGTGCAATTTTTTTTCCGTTCGTTTTGTTGTAAAGAATAAACAATAGAAGAAAACCGGAAAAAGTGAATCGAATGAAAGACGACATTTATTGAAAATCGACATATTTCGGACGAGGTGTGTATTGAGAAAAGGATGTACGAAAAGTTTACAAAGAAGACATATGATTGATTCATGTGATCATACACTGATCTTTTGAAACATTTTGAAAAGACCTCATTTTGACTGTGTTTGACTACTCTAAAGTAAAATCAACTGGTTGAACCAAATTACATGTAGAAGTGTTTATGGTTCGCAGAGAAAAATAAGTGATTTGACTAAGAAACGACGAGCAAACACAGTGTTTTATTTTGCCGTGTGATCATGTGTCCGCGCTGGCGCGTACCAACGATGATGATTTGATCGAATTATTGATTTAAAACTCTTTTTTTGCGATTCGATTGGGACGATATTGTCGGCTGAAGTTATTGTTGTTCTTGTTGATATCGTGCCGTGTCAACTCAGTCTCTCACTCCAAGAACGACAAAAAAAAGCAGAAATTCGTTATCAACGGAAAATGCCAGTTACTTGAATATCGTTTTTAATTTTGTCGTTGTTGTTTAACTATGACAGAAATGCTAGACAGACATCCAAAAGCATCATGTGATTAAGATTACAGCTGAAATGGCAATCGTATATTCAATGCTCAGATCTCCCGTTTCGATTAAGCGCTGACGTGTGTGCTTGGTGATGCGTTTTATTTATTTCGACGAGCCATTGTCGCGTTTATTAACTACTCGATAAAAAAAAAGTCGTTTCAATTTGAAGAATGCAGCAGCAAATCAAGTGTGTGTGACAATTAAGAAAAGAATTTATTGGATTCATGAAACTATTAAATTGATGTTAATTATTTTCTAAATTGCATCGCCCAAAAACTCCGGCGATAGATAAAAAAACACAGTGAATTAAAACAAAAGACGAACACAAGGATAATCGAATTTTTTTTTTGTCAAACAGTTTTTGTTTGTCGACAATTGAGTGAAAATTTATTGTTGCTTTATTGTTGTTGTAAAATTAGTGCGTGGTGAATAGCAACAGTTACATTTAGTACCATGGAATCGGATACCGAGAAACACGACGGTTACAATGCATACAGGTTGGTTTCACATTCAATTTTTGTTTCTGCTTCACTTTTTTTTTATTCCATCGTTTCATTTGAAAATACATTGTGGCCTTCGCGAACAAAAAAAAATGAGGGTTGCATCTTCGCCTTTATTTCAATGATCAAACACCGATGATACGTCACGAACTGTATCATTTTCAAATGTGTTTGTGTCTGTGTGTGCGCCGTGTATGAGTGATGGTTAAAACATTGAATGATTTATTGCGTTTTTTCGCATTCACACGATCAACACATTTGATGGGCACTAGGATTCACACACACACACACACACACACACGCACGCACACTCAGTTGATGAGTGACTAAATAGACATGGAAATTCGCTGAAGCATATCGACCACCAATTGCCAGAGGAAGTGCATAACGCTTGCCCAATCTACCTGTTGCACGACCAACGAAATCGCTTATTCAAGGGTGCTGCAATCCATTTGTTCTACTCGAAATACCACTTAGCCACTTGCAATGAGAGGAAGTTTTCGCCTGCGGGCCTCGTAAAAAACACACTTTTTATTTCAACAAAACCCATCTCTTCATTTCATCAAGCAAGAAATTAAGAAACTTTATGCGGTTGCTTCGGAATGCTTCAATTCGAAAAATATGAAGAGAAAAACGTAGAGAAAATTAACTAGAAAAAAATGCCAGGAAAAACAGAAAAAAAAACGGGGAAAAAATTTAGAAATAGAAAAAAAAAACACGAAGAAAACTAAATTGAAATGAAATCGAACAAGTGTTGATTAAAAATGAAATAAGCAATAATTTATGAAGGACAAAATTTAAAAATATACAGAACAAAATTGGAAATGAAAACGTTCAAATCTTGAAATTGGAAAACATTCGAATGTTTTGAATGAAATTGAAAAATGGCTAAAATCGCTTTACACGATTAAAAGTGCTATATTTCAGTGAATTTCTGGCAAAAATCGAAATTTAACATTTCAAAAAACTTTAAATAAAATCCCAATCGTTACTTTTCAAAATCTTTGTTTACTCAACAAGCAACAGGTGGAGTCGCCGCAGCTAACAGAGCACGTACCGACGGCATTCGGCGCAACTCAAGATTTTCGCTATAATTTTTTTTATTGAAACTCTTATTTTTGTTCGGAATCTCTTGAAAATATGAATTAAAATATTTTGTTCAAGAATTGTTTGATAATAATTCATCCTTTGCACAACAATTTTTTTTTCGAATGATTTTACCAGGAAATTGAAGTTTTTTTTCTTAAGGAAATGATCACAAATTTGATGATCGAAAAACGATCACAACTTTAGCTGGTCTAATCGCCATAATTAGAAAAAAAATCGTATAAATTTGCAATGAAAAAGAGTGTTTCATTAGAAAAGTTCGATAAAAAAAAGTGTAACTCGTGATTCGCTAACCGTTCTATTAGATGAAACCGAGTCAGACGCAGTCGACGACGATAAAAAAAAACGAGATTCGATTTCTCGGTAGCGAATTCGTTTGTTTATCGATTGATCTATATGCATGCGATAAATACGTTTAAAATACATAAATACGTGTATTGAATCGTGGTCTCGGTAGGAACAAGCAGCGATCAGTGAGAGCAGCAGCAGCAACAGAAAAAAGCGACATCGAACGAACTTTTAAAATTCAATAAATCAACGTGAAATGTGACACATATCCTTCACGTAACATCAGTCAGTCGTCGTTCTTTTTTTCTCTGTTTGTTTGTTGCTGTTCGATCGTTCACAGTATGTTCTTGCGACCTTTTTTTTCCTCTTCTCGTTTTCGTTGGCAAAATTCGATTCTGGTGTGTGCGAGTAGTTTTTATTTGCTTTTTCCTCTTTTCTTCTACCTCCAAAATATCGATGCGAACGATCAATTTTTTTCGCTGTACGAAAATTGCATCAATCAAATGGTCAATCTGGTTTTTTTTTTATTTGGTTTGATATCGTTCGGTTTTTTTGTGTTTCGTTTGCAACGAAACGAGAGGAAAAAAATTGATTTTTCTGAGAATATAAGAGATTTATGTTCCATATTACAATATTTTTTTTTTTCGAATCGGCCGAATAAAAAGTGAAAAAATGCGATCAGAAAAGTGGACACACACAACAATCTAGATCGAATCATGTCACACATTTGAATGCATATTGGAATTAACATTCTTCTTCTTTTTTTCCGCTTCTCTCGCTTTTTCATTTCTTTGTTATTCGTTTCAATTCATAAATCTCAGTGAATCGCGTCGCGAATAAGGATTCATTCCAACTGGTAATAATCCAGTTGGATTCTGATTCAGACATGCCAAATGATGAATAGCAAATTCTTGCCATATATCAAATTTGGTTTGTTTTGCAAAATGATTTATTTGAGCGGCTTTTTTTCTCTACTGCCGGCGTAGCGACATGCGAAAAAAAAAACAAACAGATAGTGAACTAAGTCAATTTGATTTAATTACATTAGTATCGCTACTATGTGTTCAGGCGCCGCCAAACGATGGATTTCATGAATGGAATGTGAATCACGGTGATATTTTATAAGAATAAACAGAAAATTAATGGTTTGAGAAAGGTTCAATCGCAAATTGATTAGGAAACTTTGATTTTAAATAAAAGTCCAGATTGAAAGATGAACATAAGAGAAAAATCAATATTGTTAAGAGAAAATCAGGATTATTTAGAGAAGAACTAAGATTTCAGCCAATTTTCAAGGACTATTTTAGGTCATAATATTTGGTTTTCCAAAAGAAAAATCGACACCATTTCGCTCAAGAACGTATCTGTCCCATCATTTTCTATCTTTGAAATCCAAAGTCACTTTGAACAACTTTGATTGTATGACTGCAATTACGTTGCGATTGGAATAACCGAAGCATTTAAATAGAACCGAAATCTTTTTTCCTATAATTAGAAAAAAGTCCAACTTGATTAAGAATCAAATCGGAAGTGTCAAGTAGTAGAAATGAAGTGGTTTTTCAAACGAATGAGAAAGAGAAAAAGCCAAGCGGCTGAGTGTTAATTTCGTTATGTGATACTGGGATATTGAGCGTGGCGGCAACAGCACACTCATGCTGTTGTGCCAAGTACATAATCAAAGTTCATGTTTAATATTCCGATTTAGCAATTCAAATTAACGAAAAAAAAGAGTATGAGCGCGATCGCAAGTTATGTGTTTGTTCTTTCTCCATCCGTTCGTTCGTTTGTTCGTTCTGCTGCCTTCCAATCACTCGATTCAGATAGAGATCTGGCTGCGATGTGCGCCACACGGACACTTTTCGTTCCCACCTAGAGTTTGACTTTTTTTAAATTTGTAATACGCTCAACAGTTGAGTCAATACTGTTGACCGTTGGATGTGATTACATTTGATTCGGGGTTAAAGTTGCAATGAGGTTCAATTTTTGTGACTTTGTGACAGGGTTTGGGCTTCAACAAGACTAAAATTCTGGATTTGGACATTGTTGCATTTGGAAAAAGTTGAAAATAATTTCGATTTTTCTTGTTTAGCGGAAAAAATAATTTGGTTAAATGAGAAGTAGTCTGAAATATGTTGTCTAAAGGATGAAAATTGGAAGAGTGCCCAATCTTTGGGTATTCAGCCTTTAGACTGGTAAAATAATCCCTTAGGATGAATGGCTTAAAAACACATCTTCCATCAAATTTGGTAAAGAGGGGTCAACCAGCGTATTTCAGCTCAAAAAAGAGGTCAATTGACTCCATCCATTTTTTTTCTTGCTCCAAAGAGAGTGTTGACAAACTTAAGAAATTGCCCAACACTGAATGACACTTACGAAATTCAACGATGAAGTTTATAATTTTATTCAAACTACATACGAAACGAGCAACGAAAAATACATTTCCGATCGCTATAAACGTTTCCGTTTCAATAAAAACAAATATACACAAATGCACGCGCGTTCATCACCAACACCAAAACGCCTCTCGAACCTAGGAATGAACGGAACGAACAGAAAGACAAAACGAGAAAAAAAGAGTTATGAATATAAAAAAAAAATGCGCATTCGGCCAGCAAAACATGGAAATAAATGTCAGAAACGTTGAGGTGCGCTTCATTTGAAACATGGTGTGTGCGCTGCTGTTGGTGTGCATATATGCAAAATATGATCAGACGAACCGATCACAATCTTCGATATAGTTGGATGACGTGCAGATATTTTGATGGTCAAAAAGTGCTAAATACATAATGTATAAACTAATTAAACATCCGATTGTGTGAATGCCGACCGACCGACGAACCGATCACGCGGCAGCGAGAGAGAAACGGAACGCCTTAAACGATGCGGTACAGAGAGACAAATGGCCAAACCAAACGATTCATTCATCATTCGGCCAACGCAAAGTGTAAGACCGCCCGCTAGACAATTCAGTCACTATTTTGACTATTTTCCATGGATCCATTCGAATGGACCGAATGTGACTTGGTTATTTTGACAATCATCTTGGAATCGCCTATGCTCAAAATCTACTCAACTCAACACATTTATCTAACCAGAGAGAAAAAATTGCGCACATTTCCCTTAACTAATTTACTTACCTAGTCAAGCGTTCTTTCTCGCCCGTTTCTCTCTCTTTTTTCGGCTATTTTTCATTCGATCAGTCGAAGAAATTATGTGTCGGTTTGCTAAAAAAAAGAGACGAAATAAAAAAAAAATTCGTATAGAAAAGTGATTGAACCTTTTTAATGCGTTTGTTTCTGCTGCTGCCTTTGTACATTTTACTCTTTTTTTTCTGTTTCTGTCGTATTCTTCGTCGGTTTCGGCGCTTTATTTGGTTTTGTTTTTTCTGGTTGCGAAGCGTAAAAATTGTGTGTGTGCGTTTAACCCTAAATATTGGCCTAAGACTCAAACAACACCGTATAATTTTATATTCATTCGTTGTCTCTGACTACGACGACGACTGTGAAGTGTCGAACTCATCGACGGTTCAATACTTTTTTTTTTGTTCTTTCGCTTTTGGTGAGTCTTTTTTTGATTACACACTCGCAGAGACGATTTTAATG